GGGGGGGTTGTTTTTTTTGTGGACAATTTAAAGTTATCGTGTATTGAAAAGGGGATATATCTTGTTTGAATAAAAGAAAACATAATCTATACTGAAAAGAGTATGGCGAAACTGTGCGGTAAATACTTTTTATTTTCAGATGGACGCGCAGAAAAGGCCATCCGTTCCAGAGGTAGGTACGCGTAGTTTAATGTCAATCTATGACGTTGAAAATATTATTGTTTGAAATGATGAAAAAAAATTATTGTCATATAATACCTTAAATCAAATAGCTCAGTGCAGCTGGAATTAAAAGTTATTCACAAAAAAATCTGTGATACTATGGTTTAGAGCCTTGGCTTCCACGACCGAAAGAGAACGTCTGAGAGAAAGTTGCCTTGAAGCTGGAGCTCATGGACATGAACACGAAAATGTTCACGGCGCCGTTAGAGAGGTCAAAAATGAACAGCACGTAAGAGATGACGAGAAAGAGGTTGTGATAATTCCGCAGAAAATAAAAATCGTAGATGAGATACTTGGCCAGATAGAGCGCGATCCTTGGAGACAAGTTAACCACGTAGATTATGATGATGACCAGCAGCATCTTGACCACTTGCTTGTCACGCCCAGACAACTGGTTGCCTCTCTGACCTTGACCCAGATCTTCTCCTCTGCCGGCGCTGCTACTGGCTGACCGAAACTTTGAAGATTTCTGTAACTGAAACACAATGATTGAAGTGCAAACCACGATGACTACGAAACTAAACATAGGCCAAATAATACCGGAAAGATTGTAGTACTCGAATAAAGGGCCCTCGTTTTCTTGATAAAATTCGTTGTATTTGTAGATGATCACAGTTTTGTTGTAAGTATCATCGAAGACCCTGTACACGTCATAGATGCCCCAGATCACTGCAAATGATCCTAAGACAACTACGGAGATAGCGGTACAAACGGCAAATGTGAACTTCGGGGTGAGAAGAAATTTGACTTGGAAAGGGATACTCACGCAAAGACAGCGCTCTAGGGCTACGTAAGCTGCCAAGACGCTGGACACGTAGCTGGAGAAACATATGAGATAATTAAACGCCACAATGCCCACGTTTGTCCAACTCTTTTTGGCAGCGGCGTCGAATAGACCGATTGGACCCGCCATTCGCTGTAAAGTTCCTGCCATGCATTTGACCAAGTCCCAGAAGGCGATGTAACTCATGGAGATATTGACGCTGTCTTTGAAACCCTGACGATAGAACACTACCAGGATTATGGCGTTTGTGACCACGCCCACTACCGAAATGACGAGGGACAAGCAGAAGTCGATGACGATTTCGGAGACCTGACGCACGTTGGTTTTGACGAAATACTCTGAGGGGCTGAACACTTCACTTTCGCCTTTGCTGTCCACACGTTGTCTCAAGACTTCTGATACCAACACACTCGTTGTTGTGGAGAAGATGGCTGTCACATTTGAAGATGCCATTTTTGCTGAAATATAAATGTGCATTTGTAAATTTTGCTCATCATCATCATCATCATCATCATCATCATCATCATCATCATCATCATCATCATTATCTGCAACAGCAGTAGCAGCAGCAGCAGCAGCAGTTTTGTAGAAAAGGCAGAGTAGAGAAGGAAAGTCTTGAGTAATGTTTGGCCAGTAAATATGACGAGCTTTTTACAAGCTTAACTGAAACTTATACTTACTAAAATGGCTTAACGGTTCACCTCTAAAGCTTCTTCAAAACCCCTCTGAGAGTCAAACTAAGGGGAGTGCTGTTTATATTGCAATTGAAAGGGCCTAACAAAGGAGGTCTAAAAGGGGGCCCATTTGTCTCTCAGCAGGAGCCATGTCACGGGGCCGATTATTATTGAGAAATTGATGCATTATCAAACATTACCTACCTCAAGGACAAGGAGAGTTCTTTCCACTCACAGACAGACGGTTGATTGCATGAACATGGAATAGACAAACGAAAAGTTTGAGCCATCTCTAGAGGGACTGGTCAGGAATATATATATATATATATATATACATATACAGAGAGAGAGAGAGAGAGAGAGAGAGGGAGAGAGAGAGGGGGAAAGCGACAAAGAAAGAGAGAGAGAGAGAGAGAGGAGAGAGAGAGAGAGAGTAAGAGAGAGACAGACAGAGCGAGAGGTGGTGACCGCGGAGGAGGAAGTGGGGCCACTCAAAACAGTAAAACTAGAAATAATAAATACATGTATATTAATATTACATGAGCTGGGGATCAATGACAGTGATGGGTCTTCCAATCCAGCGTACCATACCTATTTGTGTTAGTCCCTGTTTTCACTGACACGGATCTGGCGAACGGAGATTTGTTGACACCAACAAACCTATACTCCGTCTTTTTAGGGGAGGGGGGGGTGAGAGCAGGTGTGTTCCCACAAAGTGCACGAGGCAGAACCCACCGATGAGTGGGAATTGTAATGCTGCTCACTAATAGACTCCATCTCTCCCTCGAGCAGATTTCCTTGAGAGGATGTCTATAATTGTCTAACACCTCCACTTATGTTATCAACACACCCTCTGTGGCTGAGAAGGAATCCGCCAGTTTGAGAGTGTGTTTGCAAGGATGGATCGAGCAGAATGCCTGACTTGCTCTCTGGCAGTGGACCCTCTTTGTAAAGGCACAACGATCAAGGACGTGGCAATCCAATGGCTTTCCACTAGGCCAGAGTCTCACGCAAGAATGCACAACTGTAGCTAATAGTCGTTCGTGGCTGAGAATAGGCTCAATGAACCCTACAGGAACTACTCGGTCACAGAGCAGTTAGGCATTTCAGTCTAATGAAAACACCTTGTATCCTCTAATCCTCAACCTGCACAGCCTCTTCTCGAAGTGGGAGGCAGTCAACTGACCCGCCAGTCCTCAATGCCATGACAATTGGAGCTCGGACATCGCTTCGTTAAACAAGGTCCGCGCCAGGCAGTGCAATCGCTGGGCTTCTCTGAGGGAGAAGTCAGCTACTGGTGTTACACACAAAATTTGGAGCTAAAACAGCAAGTAAAAGATCTCGGTGTGAGAAAGGAGCCAATTATAGCACCAAACAAAAAAGAGTTCCCTCAACCTCTGACAACATAAATATGCGTTTTGGGGAACAAGAAACTCCTGAAAACACTGAGGGACAGGAAGATTCTTGTTGTCCTCTTTCAAGAAACCCTAACACAAAAGTACTGACCTAAGCCTCACAGGATTCACAAGCCACACCTGCACATGCCCAGGAAGCCTTGGTGTAGTCATTTACCATGCAAAATTGTGTTCAGGGAGATTCGCACACTTACCCTCCGCCCAACTGATAGGTTTCCATAAGGCCACCATATGGCACATTGGTAGGAAGTACACACTCTACAATATTTACTGCTCCCCCCCCCCCCAAGACAACATGCCACATGTCTGATATACAAGCACATCATTTGCTAGGGTGACTCCAATTGCCAGTATCCTAAATGGGGCTACACAAACGACAAAAGCACAGGCTGAAAGATGGAGGAGCTATGTGAAACCAGCAAACTGTCTGTGTTGCAAGATGTCGATTCCACTCCTACCTTACTTCACAGATCCCATTTGACTCTCAGCCAGCCTGGTCTCACCATTTGTTCATCCAACATTAAAAATTCCTGTCGCATCGAAGTGATTGATGACATAGAAAGTGATTACAGGCTTACCAGTACACGGATTACCTCTTCTCCTGCCTTCAACCAACCACGGAGGACTCGATGGAACCTTACGAAAATCAACAAGGCAACATCTGAACATACCTCAGACAAATTGCTCTCAAGATCTTTTTGATCAACAAATCACGTATATAACAGTCTTAAAGCTGCATCACAGCACACTCCACGCTGAAGATATTTCAAACCCTTTTGAAGTGAAGAAATCCAGACTGCTGTGACAGAAAGACAAAGTGCTATACAGTTATTGGAAAATTCACCGTCGCCAGTAACCAGAACCAACTACAACAAGACCTGCTCCCAGATGAGAATCACTGATAGAAAAGCAAAAAAGAGAAATGGACACATACTTGCAAAGATCTCGACCTCCGCCATAGTGGAACAAAGGCTTCGTCTCTTGTCAATCTCTCAGAAGAAAGACAGAAAAGTAACTGCAAACCTATTTCTTTTCAAGCAACACCATCAAAGAAGGTCAGAAGAAAGCGGAACATTTCAACCAGCACTTCTCCTCAGCAGACTAATTGACTCAAACACATACCTCATGAACAAAGCAAAGCACAAAGAAAAAAAACCTGTTGTAAACAACTCACTGTTTGAGGAAAATAGCAGCTTGATGGAACTCAGTCAAAACAAAAGAATCCCCAGGACCAGACAGAATACACAACGGAATGCTGTGCAACCTTGGCTCTGAAGGAAAAGAAATTCTACGTTGCCTAAAATTATACGTGGACAACAAGGGGAATACTAAAAGCATGGAGAATAGCCCAGATTATACAGTTCGGGGAAAATGAGAAACCACCTGGAGCAGTAAAAAGCTGCCGACCTATTTCTCTAACATTGTGCACCAGTAAGCTTGCTGAAAAAATGGTAAACAACCGCCTCTACTGATACCTCGAGTACACTAACAGCTTGAACCTACATCAAGCAGGATTCAAAACAGTTAGCAACATTAAAGACCAACTTTTTAAAACTAACTCAAGATATCCAGGATAGATTTCAGGAGACGAAATACACTGTCGCTATCTTTGTAGACCTCCAACAGGCGTACGATAGAGTGTGGAGAAAAGGTCGGTCTGCTCGTGCAATGATGGAACTTGGGAAACCGGCAAACTTTTAAATGGATCGAAACATCGAAACTTGGAAAGTAAGGTGAACAATGCCCACACGTCACGAGAAGTAATTGAGAAAGGCCTGCCTGAGTTGAACTTTACTACTGTTTTTCTTCAACGGTGTAACGAACGTGCTGAAATCCGAAAAGACTTCCCACACTGATGATTTCGCTCTTTGGTAGACACACCACAGCATGGTAGTAGGGGCAGAGAGATAAGATGAAGACCTCAAGAAGCTCCACAAGTACTGTCAGAAAAGGAGGCTTAAAATAGATTGCACCAAAACAGTACACATCATTTTTTTAAAGAGCAATAAAACAGCCAAAGAAAAACTTCAACTGAAGATAAATAATGAATACCCAAACCTCTCAGAGAAGGACAACTAATATACTTAGGAGTAAAACTTGACCAAAGTCTGACCATTAAAAGCCATGTGGAGAGGAAAAGGAACAAGGTGAAGAATCCAACTTTTGAACAAACTTACAAGCAGATAATAGGAAGCAGACAAACAAGCTATGAGAATCACATACATTGGTTATGTCCGATCGTTCCTAAAATACAGCAATAGCCTACTCCCTGTGTTAGGCTCAACGACTTGAAACAGCCTTGACAAAGCCCTAAATAAAGTACTTTGTTTCATAAACGGTGGCACGAGATCCACGCCTACTGTTGCACGTGAAATCCTTTAAAATGTAAAACCTTTGGTAAGTCGCAGAGATAAAGCAGGTTTTTGGGCTCCATGATAGAACCTAAAGAATGTGCTTCAGCTACCCAAACAGGGAGTTTGTGAAAGAAGATCTAATAATGGATCACATCACAGAACTATTGGATATTCAATATCTGCCGCATAGCTGAAAAGAAACAAAAAGAGTGAACCAAACTATTCCTCCTCTCTTTTTTTAAATAACCATTACAACATCTCTTAATAAAGACAAAGAGCAAAATCTTCAGACCCAATAGTGTTGACGCTTGCTTTACATCAAACAATCGACGGCTATTCAGAACACGTCGATACAAACAGCTCACCGAACAAAAGGCACAACCAATGCAGGGATGTGGAATACTCATACAAAACCTACCTTGAAGTTCCAATAATCTCTGCAGCCTTTGGGGGAGAAATGCAGCAACTATAATGCAGAAAAAACGAGGGCAACTGAAACAGAGCTGTACCATCTCTGAACAGTTTGTTTTTTTTAAAACTGTGTCACAATTTGCTCAATATCAGATATTATCTTATTTCGAGCACCACTTGCGAGAGCTGTAAACTCTTGACCTCGGTGTGTCCAATAACAGGGGGGAAACTGCAGGAACTCACGGCGTTAGAACTGGGCCTGACCACCCGGTCGTGGATCAGGATCAAAGCGAAGAGATCATTACAGAGCAGACACACTTGCCAAAGGGGAATCTAGACAGAAACGTCCCAACTTTCAAAATTCCTACAACACTGCAAACAATTCTTTAAAACAACCACAAATAAGATTGCATGAAGATATTGGCCTTGGGAAAAACAGGCAGAGCAGATATCAAACAAAACGAATGGCAATCTCAACCACCAACAGAGAAAGGAACAAACCACGATCTCCCGCTTGCGAACAGAACATAATATACAACTCTACTTCCTCTTAAACAGAATGAAACCAAAGCTGTCCCTTGCATGCCCTTAGTGTAACTAGGCATATTATGAGACTATGTGTCATCACCTGTTCTAATGCACAGCCCTAAATGACATCAGAACTACATTCCTCCCTCCGAAGACTAATAGTTACAACGCACCCAGTGGAGCATCACAACAACAGTTCTGCAGCAAACCTATACTTATTACTACATGTCAGCTGTTTGCTGGAGTTACAACAACAACAGCAGCAACAACATCATCAACAACAACAACAACAATAGCAACAAAAACAACAACAGCAACAACAACAACAAAAACATTACACAAGCTGCCCGCGTGCCTTTAGCATGACAATCAAGAGCTTACAGCTTATACCATCATCTACCTGTACTTGACGCCGTTACAGTTGCGACAACAATGAATATCAATTCCGTAAATGCATGAATAAGTCACATCATCACAAACATAGACAAGCTATACACCACTGCTGAACGTCATTGTTTTTTAACTTGGGTCATCATCGTCATCATCATCATCATAAGTGACTTATGTTAGAAAATAAATAGTATACTTACAGTTCACCTGAACTGGAACACGACAGGCAGTAAAGAAATGCACTGCAGATAAAGAGTTGTCTTGGCTCTTAAACATGCATCTCTGAACACTCTACGTCTTTTAGTTTGCTTACAGATATAACAGAATCGGTAGACAAATATTATTTCGCATTTGCAAGTCTTTTCCCGCGTGATAAAGTGTCGCTTTTAGTGACAACTCAATTACCTAGTTGTCGACTAAATGTCTAATTTCTTAAAACTGAGTCAAAGCAGGAGAAGTTTCAATATTCCTAGATCTATTAATTGCTTTTAATTTATTTAAAGGGCAACGTGTTGCAGTTAGAGCGATTTTTTTTCTAGAAAGATAATCGTAGTCTCGGACGTAAGTGCAGAAGTATGGTTAAATGTTAAATTAAAGTGTTATTAAAGTGTTCAGGGAACAATTTTATTGTCATCAGTTTCTAAGAACGCACTTGATAAAATGTTGAGAAAAGGAAAAACGTATTTGGTTACAGAAACAAAGCTAAATAGAGCTCCAATTTCATCTGTTTATACTGACAAGGAATTGAAAGAATTCACAGCGGGAGGTACAATAAAAGTCGAAGTGACTGCTTTGTTCAATACCCGGATTATCAGTTTCCGTAATTGCATAGCATGACGAGAAAATGGCAAAATTGGAGCGAAGAGGAGAAATCTGTCATTTTAAAGTCAAGGAGATTGATGTGAAAGTAGAAACCTTTCATTTCCCCTTGTTTTATACCATTATGAGCTATAACTGTGGAATATACTTATTATCTATTCTAATGATACCTTGTCCAATTCCTACTTTCCATTTCGAGATCAAGGCAAATAGTTTTGCCTTGGGTCTTATAAGGACTAACAGCTATCCAATAAATTATTGCTTACGTCAAAAGGAGCGTCTTTAAAGGATCATGGCGTCTTCGCGAAGAAGTTGTGTGAATGAGAATGTAAGAAGCCTAGCATTACTTTTCCGGGTAGGGGTTAAGAATAAAGAATTACAGGGAAGGACGATGGTGCATTTGTTTTCCTTTTTTTAAAACGTCTCGACTTGGTTGCTATCTTGTACTAACTCCAACTTCCGACCTCTGGAGTTGTTTTTTGGGGGGTTTTTTTTGCCGTAGCTGCCAATGCTGGTAAACAATCTTTTCTTAAAGCGCAGAATTATTATGGTTAACGCTTGTATTCTTAAGAATTTCTGTTTCATTTTGTAATTGCACCTATTTTCGCGACTGAAAGTAAGTCGGTGCTTCAAAGTGATTTACATCGAAATCTAAAAAAAAAAATAGGAGTTAGTACCCAGCATGTGATTACTGGTCGTGCTCTTCGTCTCGTTCACAGGTTATATTTGTGTCACGATGCGGTGGAATCAGGCGCTCGTCAATTTTTGGCATATTATGAAGTTATTGGTATTACTTTACAGAATTTTCATTTACCATGCCTTAGATGAAAACAAAACGCATCGATCTTGAGTAAAAGTTGAGATATCTGCAAATAAAGACATAAGGGGTCGCTTGGTGTCACAGGTAAACATTAGCGAGAAAATGACCTCCAAAGTTTGATTACTTCCATAGCTTCAGAGTCCTCGGAAACTGAAAATTTACTCTTTGTGCCTTTCATAAAGGTTTTCCATTAAAGTTTACACTGAAATTTGCTTTTAAATTGATGTGAAAGATGTTAGGTAAAAAAAAAAAATATTCGCTAGAAATGTTATTTACAAACTGCAAAAAAAACCGTCATGATGTCTCATGAATTAATAAAATCGCTTCCTAACGCAGAAAAAACAGTACAGAAAGGATCGAGGACTAAGCTTGATAGGTGTTTGAAATGAAAGAAGGAGCACCCGCTAACTGTTTAGCTTGTATCATTCTTAATTATGACATTGTAGAAAACAAAAGAGTAAGCGGAGGAAGAAGACAAAGACAACACATCATTGACAAAATGGGGCAGTGTGTCACTGTGATTTGAGGCATACAACAATTACTTTTAGAGGCGTTGTCAGGAAGGATACACTCTGAAAGGACATTGGCATGCTTTATATGCAAGAGTATCCACCAGACGCTATCTGAGAATTACAAAGTTCTTCCCGACATGTTGCGCCCTTTTGAGTTACTAAGACCAAGAGATTATAATTTAAATACTCTCTCTCTGCTTAATCAAATTCGTACGATTTTTCTGAGTCATTATCCAGATATTCACTGAATTTCATTCGAAAAAAACTTGACACATTATTGTAAAACTCGAACTCTTTTATGTCAAATTTCTCAAAACTAGCTACTGAGCAGAGAAAATTGTGTAATTCTGAGAGTCTGCTTGAGTGCGTCCCTTCTACCACTCAGCCCAGGTTGTTCCTTACTGACTAGCAGAGTCGCAGCTCCCAGCCTCTTACATTTTTAGATTTTGAAGACGAAGGTGCTGAATTTTGGGATGAGGAAGGACCGGCGTTTTCGGTGTCACGATTAAATTATACGCTTCTCTGTGTAACACAGGAGATCCGTGTTTGTTTGATTTCCGAGAGTGTGGTAAGAGTTTTTATCGAGTGCCCCGGTCTTTTTGCTGGGATGTTATACCCCTCTTAGCCCGGGCTGGCCTTTAAAGACAGAGTTGAAAGCCTACTCCTAAATGAACTTCTACATAATCTCTATGAGGACGTAGAAACACCACATTCAACAAAAAGGCCGCCCAGCATATCAGTCTTTGGATCAAAGACGCCGATCAAATGGCCTTTGGCAAGACGAAAGCAAACTATGCTTTTTTGGTTAGCGTTCTGTCATTTGTAACGTTGCGTCAACGTTACTTGGGATGGAAGAGACCTCGCTTCCTTTGGACATGTAGTACAAAGGACATTTCACAGCTTTGGTTGTCTAGGTACCTGTACATTTGGCTAAAATTTTGATGAGTTTTCAAGGCTTCCTGACTGCGTGGCTCCTATTAGAAATATACCTTACATTCTCTGGCCTCTCTTCTTGAATAACCCTCTTTGTGTTGAAAGACGCTTTAAAACCACACTGTTCTAGCATACAAATAGTAACTGAAAGTTACAAGCGAATCTTTTTAAAATTAAAATAAAACATACATTGTCTGGGGACCGGACGTTTGATTCAGCGAACCTCTGTTTTGGGGTCAGAAGTTTATCAGTTGATGGCCGCGTTTGGCACCAGCGGTTCTCTCGTGATAAACTTCTGATCACGGGGCTCAGTCGACAGATCAGCACACCAGATGTGTTATAACAGATTTCCGTAGGTCAAATAACCCGATCGAGTCAAAAGAAGCAAATCGACACAACAATTGTCATTTAACGCCCGGGAAAAAGTAAGACAGACAGACAGACAGAAACAACTGAGGGAAGTAAAGAATAGGGCCTACCAGTGGCGCCCTCCAACCACCCACGACCCAATCTGCAATGATCAGATCCGATCTTATCAGTTTGACTTAAAGATGCTGGCCAGCGCCAATAGATTGATTTAAAGCTGAAAGGATATTTTCCATGTTATTGTTTTGAGACGTATTCCACAGACGCCCGAAAGTCTTATAGGGCCTGCCCAAAAGAATATGACACCTATGGGTGTGTATTAACATTCAAATACAAAAGTACTAATGCAAACGTGTGCACACACACACACACACACACACACACACACACACACACACACACACATAAACAAACAATATCAAACACACACAAACACACAAAAGAGAGGAAAAGAGAGGGAGAGAGGGTAAGAAAGAGAGGGAGAGACGGTAAGAAAGAGAGAGAGGGGGGAGAGAAAGGGAGAAAGAGGGACAGAGGGGGAGGGAGGAGAGAGAGAAAGAGAGAGAGAGAGAGAGAGAGAGAGAGAGAGAGAGAGAGAGAGAGAGAGAGAGAGAGAGAGAGGGGGGAAGGGGGTGGGGGAGTGGGATGTAAACGCAAAGTACAGCAAAAATGAAAGGAACAATGTCTGAACAGTCAAATTGATCAAGAAATATCAGAGCAACAGTTTCTGAATCTCAACTTATGTTCATCTTAAGACCAAACAGATTTTTTAAAGAAACTTTAATCATACGAATACTGAAACTTGGACACAGAAAACATTGTTTTATAAGCGATATGGTTTATTATAACAGAACTTTAAAAAAGTGATATACATAGTTTTATTAATATCAACACCATTACAACAAATGAAACCATTCACTCTCACATTTAGATAAGTATATAATTAAAGGAATAGTATGCTAATAGTATTATATTTCTGTAAAATTGCATCTCGTAATACGGATCTTGTTGACTTTATTGGGGGTTCTTTTTCACTTAAAAATGATTTTAAGAATTTGTGTTGACCTTTTATTGAAATTCAGGCAGTTTATTTCCCTTGTAGATATAATCCTTTCATCATTAATGGGTTCCTTATAACAAAAAGATTGTTTTTATAAAGCAGTCCATCAAAGTTGTTTTTCTCTGATTATGATATGTAGTTCTCGTGCAATAGGTTCGCCACTTTTGACACAATGTTATATACACTCTGTAAAAAAAAGCCCGACTAAGAATGAATCAAGTTTTTAAAATGTATCAATATTATTTTATAGGTTTACAGGTCCTTCGAACCCTGCAAGTTTTGGGGGGGTTTTAAGAGTCGGGACTGTCGAAATTAATGCTCATGTCCAATGGGACCGAGCCCAAATGAGTGGAGAGCCTTTAAAATTCCTTAAAAGAATCCAGACAGTTCAGAACATACGCAGTTTAGTCATTCTTTATTATAGTGTCGTGGTTTTATGGACACCCTATACAAGTACTCAAACGTATGAGAAGAGCAGTGTATCATAAATGTATAATGGTAAATCAAGAGTTCATACACACCATCTATTCCAAACTTGAGCTCTCTCAGACACAACAAAAAAGTCTATTATGGTATATAAACACAGTGGTATATTCAGTAGCGCAAAGCTGTGAATTATTTACAAGAGTTGTAGTAAAAAGAAAACTGCCAAAAGATAAGGCACCAACATCCAATACAGCCTACGAGTTTTAATTAGAGCAGAATGAGATATTTGAATTATGAGTTCTGTTATTGTATGAAAGCAAAAGCGGATCTAGTGAGGACATAATGAGAATTCAACTTTAATGTGTTGTCTCTAAAAGACGTGTAGAAAAGCACACTATTATATAACTTTGGGTTTTTTTAAACAATAAAAACTCATTTCACTAGAGCCTTTCTTTAACATTTCTGTTAATAAAAGATGGAGGACTTTCTTCCCCAATCAGGCTATCTTAGGGGCTGGAACTACTCCCAGGTGGTCATGAAAAAAATTATTCTTGTTCAGGCCTCCCTTTCCAAAACGTGTACAATCAGATGAGGCTCGTAACCTACAATAACAAAAGCCAATGGGCATCTACACCTAAACCCGCTTAAAACAACAATGATATTTCAATGATGAGCATCTGGTTAGTATCACATTCAAACAGGCACCACGGCTAGTTTGTACATTTTGTACACTGGCATCACAAACAAGGTGAGGATTAAAAATTATTTTAAATAACAAGCCATTTTGAGAGCACTGTGAGAGACAAATTTGTTATTTTCAACATAACGACAACTGGGGATGTTTGTATCCCTTTCTAATGAGGGAAGGTATTTCTGTTATTAGTGCTTGGATTTAAATGAAGAAAGGACATCATATGACAGGGGTGTATGTGTTGCGTCACGTGACTGTTAAAAGGACCATTTTAGAATTTGAATGAAACAAAATGAGAAATGCTGGTGTCTAGAACTGAACCCCCGTTAAAATGTTTAGCTAGTGAAGAGGGGGACACCTTTAGAAGACCCAACTTTTGCTTCATAAATATTATAGAAATAAAATGTTAAATTATAACATTTAAAATGAGGTAAGCCTACTTCAGGTCAGTAGTTGTTATTGTTGTTGTTTTTTTTTGGGGGGGGGGGGTTGTACACATACAAACCTAACAAAAAAAACCCACCCTTTATCAAACACTGAATGTGATCAAATTAACCCGCACCAGTACATCTAATACTACAGAGAACGGTGAGTGGCCTTCTCTTACAACATCTATTCTCTGAGCCTAATAACTATATAAACATCTTAAAGATAAAACTTAACTTCACACTTTGTTAAAAACATATTTATCGAATAATGATTTTTAAAAAGTAACGTTAAAAGCGATTTGTTAGTTGTTTTCTCCTCTTAAAAGATATAATAAGATGCGCAATTGGATGTTTAAACTTTCACTGATTTTTCTTTTGCAAATGAATAAATAGATTCTCCCTGTTTAAGGACAATTTGTGTATAATTAGGAATTCACACTGCGCGAGTACCCTTTTGCCTATGCCGATCTATAGTTATATTCAAACATTCTTTTTCGTCCTTTCTGAGCGACTGATACCATACTTCTGAACAGTAGTTATAATAACATCTACATTTTCTGAGACAACGAATGCTCTTTTTCACTGAAAGTAACGGTTGCTTCTTATTCTTATTCTGTGTGTTTCAATTTTTTAAAAAGGTCCCATATTATGATATAATGTAATTTTCTTTCACAATGTGTATTATTCCTGAGGAGGTAGTTTCCGCTTGTTATGTCAAAAACATTTTTACACAATAGTTTCGGTTGTAGACATGCTTTTTAACACAATAGTAAACAAAGCATAAAAATAAGTATTCTTTTAAAATGATATAATATTTTCATGTTTTTGAGCACGCAAGTTTTCCGTTGTATTCAATTCCTGCATCACGTCACTCTAATAAAATTATTTTATACATAATCAAGATATTAGAGATTTTGAAAACACATAATATTCCCAAACACTGTCGAAGCACGCATATAGCATTATAGAAAGTTACTTGTTGAATGTTATTATTTTTTGTTTCATAGATAAAAACTATGTTTCAGTTATTCTATTCATTCTTACAGTATATTCCAAAACAAAAAAAAACAAGAAAACGGATTTCGATTCTCACACTTACAGAGTTCCCTCAAGATGTGACAACTTCGTCACTGCCGAGAAAACAGTCTAGCAACTACAGCCGTTCATCAACCATGGCAGGATTGTCGAACCCGCCCTCTTTCTTCTCGGGGTAGTGGCCGTTGTAGGTTGGGGGATTGGACTTCTCGTTGTCCGCGACCACGTTGTCCAGGGAGTCCAGGGCGTAGTTGTTGTAGGCGCCCTGCGTAGCCAGGTGGGCGTAACGACCGACCTGGTTCTCGGGCATGGCAGGTCCCCAGTTCGCTGTGGGTTTCATGGATTTTTTCTGGCGACATAAGATCAGATTTAAATAAGAAGATTGGTAGGTAGGTTGGTTGGAATGTTTGAGAAATTGTTAAGGGACATTCGTACGTATGGATGCATAATATGCACATGCTCACGAACACACTCACACACACACACACACACACACACACACACACACATACACACACACACACACATACACACACACACACACAAACACGAACCATACAACACTCTCTCACACACACACACACACACACAAACACACACACACACACACAAACACACACAGACACACTCACACACAAACACACACATACACACACACACCCATACACACACACA